AGTGAGGGAGGGAGGGGGATGTAGGGGGGAGAGGGAGAGGGAGAGGGGGCGCATTAGTGAACAGCGACTGTGGCATTGATGTTTGAGCGCACTTCTGAACTGGCTTTTGTTGAGACTATCAGTGTAGAAAGCATGCGCTGTCCCAAATCCGCTGTTACTATGAGGAATGAGGAGCTGCTTTTAAGGTATGTTGTTGTGTGTTCTTTGTTTTTAACGTATGCTTTCCTAGTTTCTAGGGCTGGCTGAGACAATAATCATGCTCTGAATCAAGTAGCTTCCTTATGTTGGAAGAGAAGGGGGGAAAAAGAATCTAAAGAAAGAGAGGGAAAGGAAATTGAGAACAAGAGGTTGGGAGAAAGAGCGAGCAAGCAGGAGAAAGAAGGACCTCTGTGAGCGAGTTGTATTTGTACCAGTTGCCTTTTGAAAGCAGATCCTGTATTTGTTCGCTGCTATTTGTGAGTGGTCAATGGATCATTTTAAGGGCTCCAAATCTGTCTCTTGGTTCGTCTTGTCCTTTGCAATGTCTAAGCCTCTTTCATTATTATGCACTCTGCATGGAATAATCACCGAAAAAAGGAGCTGAGGAGACTCCATATTAGACTTGCGTTCCAAATACCGCTCTAATCTGGACTTAGCCTACCTAAATAGTCTTCCTGTGTTACCAGGTTTGGATCACTTTATCCTGTTTGCCAAAATGTGTACCTGTTCGGAGACCTCTGTTCATGCATGGCGTCCTGGGTCCCCATGTACGGAAAGCAGATATTTGTTTCCTGCATCAGTGTTGGGGTTCTATCACACGCCAAGAAGGAGCACCACTGACCTTTTGGGAAGCAGAGAGAGAATTATGATAGAATTGGCATCCTGCTTTGAAAAATGTAGTCTTTTGTTTATTTGCTAGCAGACATTGTAGCACTGAATACATCTTTGGGTCTGACAATGCGACTGGTTGAACAATAGAGCTGTCAAACTAGCTTTAATGCATGTCTGGGGCTTTTATTTTTTTTTCCTCAACACCCTTTTTATCTTCCATAATCTTGTTTGTATAGACTATCAGAACGCAGAGCTTTTAGAACTGCTTGTTTGTGGTTTTATGCTTTAAAAAAAATTACTGTCTACCTTTCGCAGAGCTTTTGCATTTTGCAATTATGTTGGTTGGATTAAGTTAGAGATTTATTGCTTACCTCTCTATTAACTATGGAAAGAAAACTTATTGATTGGGAATGCTTGTAATACTATTATCATCCTGGCAAATACTTTCCGATCAAATCTACTTCTATAGTATTTGATGCTCAGGTTTTAAAATTTGTTCATTTGGTGGACTTACAAACAGTAAAGATAAGTTAAGAATAATTTCAATGCTTAAATTATAGTTTCTAATCTCTTTCTCTTTGGGCATCTATGTAGATAAAGAGTTTAGAAATTCAAGGACAACTGAGAACTTTTGCCCTCACAATTTTGGTTACAAACTATTATTCTATAGAATCCTGAGTTCTTAAATTAAAAGTCTCTATGGAACATACTGATTTTGATTTATACTTGTGTCCTTATAAAATACATTTCTATGCAAGGCAAACATTTCTCATGCCTTTAAATATCTTTCATTTTATAAGATAAACATTGATTTCTAAGGTGAAAACAGACTGTGGAAAGAGAACATGGAAAATTTTATTTCAAACTTCTCAAATATTGAAATTTTTATTCCCACAATAGATATAAAAGAACTGCCCCTAGAAGGGTAAACAATGATTGAGTTACAAGAAAAATCATCTTATTAAGGTTAATTTCTATGAAGAATATATATTTAGCTAATGTTTAAGTGTTTTACTTAACTGTTTATGCCATTACAATATGTCAAAATATACTGGCAAAGTCAGAGAGAAAGATTAAGGAACTGATTTTTAAAAACAGAAAGGAAATTGATTTGAAGGGGTAAACTTAAAAAAAAATATTTACCTGCAAGTATTTCCTGTTATATTTTTATTCAAATTAGTGATGTTCTGAGTTAATAAGAAACAAAATGTATAGTGAAACACTAGCTAATTTTTAGAGTTCAGATATTTTCAATTTTTTAAACAAGTTGAAATGTTATGAAATATCTAATGCTGAATTATTTAAATAAATGTTACTCACTAAATAGAATTGTCTTCTCAAGTAGGAATTTTCTATTGATGGTATCTTCAGAGCTGGGGTGCACCCAAAACATACATCTATATATACACATATACATATACATATACATATGCATATATATATATATGTGCAGTGTAATAATATTAAGTTACCCATTCTGATGTGAGTAGATATTAAGTGCATACTTGTTATTTCCTCTTCTAATGGGATCTGAACTTCTCCCTCCATTGAGTACACCAATAATTGCTTTAAGGGTGAGCTCCTAAAAGGTAATGGGTGAAGCTGCATATCGGAAGCTAGCCAGCTGTTACCAGCATACCCAGATCCTGCTTTCATGGAATATTTTTAATCCACAATGAAGGTGGCATGCATTTTTTTTTCATGATTTTGGAGAAAAGTAGTCTTCTGAGATCATTAGCTAACTGTCATATGCTCACTTAAATAAAGAAATCCTTGGAAAGGTTCATTTTGAATTTTTTGTTTTTATTAAATTATCAATTTTTAGCTGCTATCTATTCCCTTTAATTCCTGTGTGGTCAGAGGTCTAGAAATAAGGGGACTCTATTGTCATTTTGCCTCTCTATTTGTAGCTTCCAGAATTTGGTGACACACCCTTTCCCATTGCAGCATCCCAAATACAAATGCTTTTATTTCTTTAACCTGATAGGGAAGGTATGAGATTGCCAGGAGCTGGCAAACTTGTCTGCACCTAGTTCTACAACAGTCACGAGATAACGTAGTTTGCATCTTGTTAAGAGCCTGTGTGTGTAATAAGTCCCCCGGGTAGGAATCGAAACAAATGTAGAAGTAAAATTTAATTCTAAACCCGGATCTGCAGAAAAGGAATAATGAAAGATTCAACTGGGCAAATGGTTTCTTTCAGCAGAGAGTAATGATTGCACCCTAAACTCCCTTATACATAAGCCGCAGGAATATTCATATAGATGTGTTCAGCAGACTGCAGCCTGAGATCTATATTCTGTGTATTAAAATCCTTTTATTTGTTAAAATGAAAGACAGTTTTTCTTTTTCAAAATATGAATAGATCCAATTGAAAAATATCCTTTGGGGGCTGAAAAACAAAGGAGAGTGTTTGATTAATATTTATATCCAGAACTTTATAGCAAGTACAGATTATGCTTGGATACCTAGGAGTCGTTCAAAGAGTGAATCAATACTAATTATTGTAATCAGGGGGTTAATTATGTGAAAATGTGGCTGATAGAAAGTTCATTGCTCACAGCCCTGGAAACAACTAGGTTGATGAAAAGAAAGGTAAAATGCAAAAGGAATGTGAGAATGATCACTCGGTATTGGGGTGTTAGAATCTGTAAATTAAAAAACCTTGATTTTTATATAATTGTGGTTGTGAGGAAATTAGAAATATCAAACTGAGTTGTTTTTGTATAAAGGTTTGTGTAAGGTGCTGATGGAAAGCAGTTTGTGTGGTGGCATCTTCTGCTGCGCAGCATTTATCTAGACTTCTTTGAACAATGAATACAAGTCAGTTCAGTGGCAATAATGCCTTCTTGGATCATCTTTACTTAGCCTTCCCTGAATTTCTTTTTATATTTTGGGAGCTTCTAATCAATTTTCTGGGGAAGGTATTCCTATTTCCTAAAACTATGGATTATTTCTGTAATTGTTATTGGATTGGGGAGGGTTCTTTTTATTTTTTTTTTTTTCTTTAAGTATCAGTGACTTTTATTCTGTCGAAAAGACGAGTCAGTGGTTTGGAGTGGATTACAATTCTTTTAGTTAGCTGACATTAGGAAGAGCGTGTCAGAGAAAGGAGGGCATATATGAAATTTTATGTTGTAGCCCATTCAAAATAGCAATGAAGTGTCCAAGACCTGCTACACCTTTCTTGTCACATGGCACTAACCTAGTTAATGTTGCTAAAATGGAAGTTGGTGAGTGTGTGTGCACGTGTGTGTGTCTGTGTCAGTGTTTTGAACCTCCTCTCAACTCAGAGATGCTGTTACTTAACCCTGATATGAGATGAGGTGCACTTTGTGTCCAAAGAAACCCTTCTGCTTCATGGAAAGTTGTGAGGAATTATCACACACAGGTGTGCCTATCTTTGTTTCACTTTCTTCCGATTGTGTGACCAATCCCGGCACATGCTCTTGTATGTCAGGATCATCTAAACTAACACAAAATAGCGTCTGTGGAGAGAAGGTGACAGCAGCCCAGAGTGACGTGTATTACAAGGGCAAGTTGAGCGCCTGCTACCTCAACTCAAGCAGGTTGCCCCGCCCATGATTGGCTGCTAGAATCATGATGAATCACTGGAGTTTGTGAAGCAGGATGGCTAGCCTGCCTGCAGAAAAAAAAATTTTAAGTAGATTTTACCCAAAGAATTATTCAATTCATCAAAGTTTGTTGTCATGGTAAAGATTTTCGATATTCGTGGCTTCTTTTCATCACTTTTTGAGAAAGCTTGCATCTGTAATCAGTAGCAACTCTTAAAACTTCTGCAGAACAGTGCTGGGTTCTAGCAGATACCTCCACGCAGAAATCAGCAAGGGCTTTTCACCCCTCCTGGAAAGCTGTCCAATGCCACAGGCCCTGTGCTGTTCATCATGCCTTGCCTTTTGCATGTTTTGCAAAACATGGACTCCAGCCCTCTTTTGCACTCTGTGATTTGGTTTATCTACCCACCCAGAGATGCTTTAGGAACCCTCCACAAATGAAAACTCTCTGTAGGCAGAGGTAGCATGCTTCCCTGGGGGCAGTGGTCAAGACTCATTATGATCTCTTTGAAAACTAATGTGATAAAAAGTAAAGGAGCCCTCATCTCAGGCCTTGGAATGCTCCATTCCTGCTCTCCATAAATCATAACTTTCTTCCTCCCTGTGGACTGAAAACCTTGATGCTATGAGAATAATAGGGTGAGGGCTAGCTTTCTCTCTTCCTTCTCAACTGCCAGTTCTAGGTTCCAATAAAGATTAGGGTATGGGATATGAGGACAAAAAGAAGGATAAAACTAAAATTCATTAACAGTCTACACTATACCTGGCACTACACTGAGTGATTAGTTTTATAATTTAAT